ATAATTTCTGCTTGAAGCAGCTGTTTTTCGTTGATTTGGTGGTTCAAGAAAATTCAGTAGACTCACTATTTGATCTGACTGCTTTATGACAAGTAGTCCACTCAATTTGTTAGACAATGTGGTCATATATTAAGTTGAACAGTATTGAACAGTATTGAGCTTGTAATTATGATTGAAAATCAATTTCCCAGCAATTATTATATTTGGTTACGGAAGCCTATTAGACGTTGAATATACCTCAAGTGATTGATGCGGGAGTAGCGATTAAAGTGTTGAAGTTTCGGAAGTAAGGGCAACTTATCTGGTTTTACATACAGTTAGGCTAATTAGCGTTTTAGGATTCTCACATTATTCCAGTGCTGGTGGATAAAGGATTTTCATTCCATCATGCGCAGCCAAATTACTTGATGATGACGAACTGGCTACCAGAAACACCGTCTACGTTACCACTGTAAGGCTCCAGCGATATCTATTTACCATGCTTGTCACGAAATATGTAGCAACAGTCTAGATGTTTAAATCTGTCAGGAACAGTGCTTATTTGAAGGTTAAACTTTCGAAGAATGCTGTTATTACAGATATGCGCACACAATGATCGGTGTTGGTGGTCTTGTTATAGATTCACAGGACCGAATTCTTCTGATGAGGGAAAGAAGAGGGTTGGTGTCCTAATGTTTGTTTCACAGCAGTCGAACATCTCTATTTCTAGAGTCTACCTCGGTTGGAAGTATCCTGGTGGGCTTTCTGAGCCAGGCGAGAGCATATTTGATACAGCTGAACGCGAAGTTTTTGAGGAAACTGGGGTGAAGGCGTTAGGAAAAGCCATATTGTGTTTCAGGTATGTTCCGGAGGCTTTTTTTCATTTTGTGGCACATTGTATAGTTCCGATCAATAGTTAAGAATCGATTCGTTTGAAAGTGAAGTGTAGTGTCCCTGTTTCACTATATGCCATTTTTTCTACCAAAGTTAAAGTTGATTCTTCTATTTGAAACTCCACATGAGTCATTTTCGCGGTGCGTGTGTGTATGCGAAACTCAAGTGGAATTTGGTGTTACGGTATTGTTGACCCAGGAAGTGTGATGCATTTTGCTTCACGGGGTACGTTTGAATGTGTATTCAGTGAATGAATTGGTGACCTGCAGGGAATTGCCGATGTTGAAGTTATCACAGTAGAGGTGAAGGACTTCTGGTTTAGGCGAGAACTGCGCAAGTAGAAAGCCCTTCTAGCGACTAGGTCCGTTTGTCTTGAAAGCCATTATTTAGCGCACTGTCCACCACATTGTTCCACCCTATTTTGTATCATGTGTCATACTTTTCCACAAATGAAGCTTACCATACTGTCTTCGGAGTCTCCCAAGTAATTCCAGCCTTTATAAATGTCGCACCATATATTTTTATGTTCGTGGAGTTTTTCTTAGTGCTATGCGCCATCGTTCACAGCAACATTCTCGCGCGATTGCGCGTAAACTGTGATCGTGTTGGGAGGAATGCTGCCAGTTTTGTGACTGGTTTTGTTGCTTAGATGTTTTGTTGTGTTTTTTTGTTTATGTTGGTGCATTTTTTGCTTGTATTGGTGCATATGCTGCCGCATGAGCCGCATTTCTTGCTGGCAGGGAATGGAACTGACAATAAGTGCCGAGCTGCAACAGCACCCCCCCGGGGCTAGGCTCGGGGGGCCCGTCCGCCCACTTTCCTTTCCTTTTTTTTTTTTTTTTTTTTTTTTTTTTTTTTTTTTTTTTTTTTTTTTTTCTTTTTTTTTTTTTTTTTTTTTTTTTTTTTTTTTTTTTTTTTTTTTCTTTTTTTTTTTTTTTTTTTTTTTTTTTTTTTTTTTTTTTTTTTTTTTTTTTTTTTTTTTTTTTTTTCTTTTTTTTTTTTTTTTTTTTTTTTTCTTTTTTTTTTTTTTTTTTTTTTTTTTTTTTTTTTTTTTTTTTTTTTCCTTATTTCCAAGGGGGAAGAGAACACTCCTCGTATAAAGGCTTCATCGGCGGTTTTCCTTGTTTCTTTTTCAATTTTCAGTCAACTCGGCATCCACAATTTCATTATCGACCGCTTTTACCCCAGCGATTCAATCTGCGCTTATTTCTTTGAACTCAAGCCCATCATTGGCATTCTTTCTTCCCATTTGCGAAACTTGCGAAAATGCCTGTTTCAGGCAGATTGCTGGATCTCAATATGAAAACGTCGGTGATATTTATTTTATTTGTGTCATGGAAGCTGTGGATGACACGATGAACGTAGGATGTACGGAGGAAGCCGCTGAATGTAAATGGTTCACAAGGTAACTGTGCACTGCACCTGTTGTGACAGCGATTCGTTAACGTCGTTACAAATTTTGATAGGCGGGGATGCAGTGCAAAAAAAACAGTTACTAAAGGACCAACCCTATAATATTGTTCTATAACATATGCATGCTATCACTACCATATTTTGTGTTCCAGGGAAGAAATCATGTCGCTGCCAGAAAAGGTTTTCCGTGATTTCCACCACGAAATTCTCAGTAGATATGATAAATGGAAGAGTTCTGGGCGAGCTGGATGTTATATGGCGTCGTGCAAATTCACTGGTAGAGGAGCGTGTAAAATGTTCTATGTTGACTGACCGGTCGGTAAATAGGCTTTTTTGTGGTCTATTGATTCATTAACATCGAACACTTGTAATAGATACTCGAATATCATAAGAATAAAAGTATTGGTTTTCTGATCTCCAGTAGAAAGACTTGACATTTTAAAGATTTGCTCGGAGACCTTCCCTCCTCATCCCTATGTAGTCGTGTATCAAACCACCTTCAGGGTGCCCCGCGCGACCAGTTGCATTAGAGAGATTGTTCCTTGGGTGCAGTCATGGGGGAGTGTAACTGGAGAAGTCATGCTGCTTTTGCACCTAAAAGGGCATAAGTAAGGCCCCAGGAGTCTAGTGTTTGGATTCTTTTACGTCCGCCGCGGTTGCGCGCTCTCAATCTGCCTCTTATTTTTAAACTTATCCGCAGAGAGCACGAAAAGGCTCACTTTGCAGTGTTTTTGGCATTATCTTTCCCTTTTTTGAATGGCGATGCTCTTCACATCCCTACTTTCATATTGGGGAGGTATCACCTCTACAAATTTTTGTTCATGAAATGTGTCTTCAACTTTCCGTGATAAATGTTTCTGTGAAACATCTGCAATATAGTACTGAATGAAATTGATATCCAAGACCTGAGGTCCGATTGGGTAAATGTTCGAAGTGCTCATTTGATGAAAGTCTGGGTTACGCGCTAAGAGGCCCGTCGCGCGGCAAGAAGGCAGAGTCAGCGGACGAGTCGCAGCGCGTACTGTAGTGATTTCGCGTCAAGTTAAATAGGTGCACGTCCTACATCGCACATCACGCGCTGCGACTCGTCCGCCGACTCTGCCTTCTTGCCGCGCGTCGGGCCCCTTTCAGGTACCCGAAATTCTGGGTGCAGGTTGTTCCCACTTCGTCAAAATGCAACACAGAACAGATGGTGTTTGAAAATAAGACTTTTCGGGCTCAGCCGTTAGACGAATAGCCTCACTACCCTAGAGCCGCATAAATTTAGTTTGCCTTAGAATAGGTCACAATTTCACTCAAAGGAGGAATTCACGATAAGAACGAAGGTCGAAGAAGGGAAAATTGCTAGTGGGGAGACAGGCGGACCTCCTGAGGGTGCGGACTGACACGCAATTGGCAGCGAAAGATTTGACCTCGGCGATCTAGCATGGCTCACTCTTGGCGCGGTTGGCGCGGAACGCCCACCGACTATCTAATCACTCGCCACAGAGATCTGCACGCAACAGGATTAGATAGCAGAGAGGCTACAGCGCGAGAGGGCACAAAGATAAAAGTCCATGTACGCGGGAACAACCGGGTAATGAGGGGTAATCACGTCCTCGGTGCTGGGCCCGCTCAGTTTCGTTTCCATCCCTCTCGACCTGACCACATTACCAGTATTTCAATGATCAAACTTTTCATCGTAAATCTCGTCCTTTAGTAAGCTAGAAGAGTTGGTCTCTATCGTCTTGCTTCGAAATGAATAGTTACCCTAAAGCCATTCATGCGCAAGGAATATTTGATGAAGCCACTCTAGTCAGCTCGGTCGCCGAAAAGTTGATATCAAAATACCCCGCTGTGCAGTGGCTACCGACAATGAGGTTCCTTCATCGCTAATGCCATGTGGAGGCAGTCCAGTGGAACCTTTGTTCTTTCCCCAATTCTCGGCTTCCGTACGTTTGATCTGTTCAATGTCATCAAGAACTGCTAACCGAAATTCTCGATGCAAGAACTGTATACTGGTTCATATTGTGGCTGTATACAGGTTCTTTATCTTCTGATCTTGATGGGAGGAGGCCAATACGATGCCTGCCAGCGAGCTTTAACAGAAGATGCAGAATCAAGATGAGGTGCAGTTAACCTTCCCCCTTCGCTAATGCCAGTGTGGCTGAAGCACGCTATTGCGCACTTCTCATGATAGGTTTCATTGAAAATCCTCAGGCTATCAGCGTGCCAGATGTTCTCGGTTACAAGCTTCTGGCGAAAATTCCCCCCTCCAAGAATTTCATACTAATTTCTTGGCATTATTGCAAACGCACGAGCAAGACACCGCGCTTTTTGTTGCGCGCACTTGTCCCTACAACATGCTAAAAACTTTTGAGAAGTGCTCCTCATCCTGAACGATCCCTTCGCTCCCTCCCCCCCTGGTAGCGGTTGTCTCATTGTAGTCCTGTTCAAGCCTAGTAGCAAGGAGCGCTGCTGTTGTACGGCCATGGACGCTTCTGGGTTCGAGTGGACTGTTCTTCTCACCACATCTCTGTAAATAGCACTTACTCTGACGATGAAATTCGAATGGTGCAGAGATCCGGGGATTGAGGTACCGATAAGTCTTTTATATCGTGTCCACGCTCCACATTCGATTCTTATTTCAAATCGATAGTTGAATACAAATAAAAAATAATAAACCTTTCAGCTTGAAGGCAAAGTTCGGGCTCAGACCCACCTAAGAAGCCCTTACCATGGCTAGAAGTGCTGGGTACGCAAGTGCAAAGGTAGCGCCACCTTTCTACATCGAAACGCGTCACTAGGACCCTAGGCGCCATGGACTTCTAACAGACTCCACCAAATAACATGGTCCGCCCACCGTTCGATATCTTGTCTGCGTCGCCACGTTGATCTGCTATGCTCTCTCTTCTCAGA